CCCTATATTTTCTAAAACAAAAGAATATAGTGAGGATAGTAGTATTGTTTTTCATTTTTGCAAATGTCTTTAATGTCTGGCTTAATAGAAGACAGCCAGATTCTCATACTTGCTTCTGCATTCAATCTGTTGTGATATCACATGTCATGTAGCCTCTGGACTACTGTACACCCATGAGAAAATGAGAGTGAAAAAGGCACATAATATCTTGATATTCTTAGGCAAATTGTTTTGATCCTGTGAATGCACTAAATGGGTCTCAGGGGCCCCCAGGAGTTCTCAAACCAAACTTTGAGAACCACTTGACTAGAAGGTTAACGTAGACTGTTTTTGTTTTTGTTTTTTTTTTGGTGAGGAAGATCAGTCCTGAGCTAACATCCATACCAATTCTCCTCTTTTTGCTGAGGAAGACTGGCCCTGAGCTAACATCCGTGCCCATCTTCCTCCACTTTATATGGGACACCGCCACAGCATGGCCTGACAAGTGGTGCGTCGGTGCACGCCCGGGATCTGAACCCAGGCCACCAGCAGCAGAGTGCTCTCACTTAACTGCTGCACCACAGGGCCAGCCCCTAGATTGTTAACCATGAACATAACGAGATATTTGGGAGATAAAACTGATAGGATTTGATTTGATTGATGGAGTATATCGGAGGATGAGGGAGAGGGAATTGTCATGGCTGACTCATGGGTTTCTGCCTTGAACAACTGGATGGTTGGTGGAGCCGTTCACTGAGGCATGGCACATTGGAAGAGGACCAAGTTTAGGAGTGATAGAGAGTGATCAGGAGGCTTTTTGAGAACTTGTTATACTTGAGGAGACTCTGCGAGTTACAAATGGAGATATCAAGCACACAGATGAATATATAGCTCTGGAATGTAAATACAAATTTGGGAGTTGATGGCTTATGGGTGATAGAAGAAATCACGTAATGGGAGAGTAAGAAGGAGAAGAGAAAAGGACCCAGGGACAGTTGTTGAAAAATTTCAACAATTCGTGGTCTAGCAAAGAAGAATAAGCTGCAGAACTGCTAGAGAAGGAGCAGGCAGAGAGGTAGATGGAAAACCAGAAGAAAGTGATATTAAAATAAAAGACCTTGGAAGCCAAGGAAAGAGAGTGTTTCAAGGAGAAAGTAGTCAAGAACAAAAAAGGCCAAGTAAAATAGCAGAAAACATCTTATCTTTTTGATTT